CCCAAAGCGCTTTACATATCCAGTCATCCACCCATTCACACACTGGTGATGGCAAGCTACATTGTAACCACAGCCACCCTGGGGCGCACTGACAGAGGCGAGGCTGCCGGACACTGGCGCCACCGGGCCCTCTGACCACCACCAGTTTGTATGTTAGTGGGAAAATAGTAGGACAGTAGGTGGGCTTGCTAGCTTTTGTGCGGCTTCCCTGGGTCAGTCAAAAATTTCAAAAGAGAAATGAATGAACTTACCAGGTTGCCCGATCTCTTCACATATCTTCCACCAAGCTTAGTCCTTTTTATTCCTGTCTCGGTACAGAAAGCAGCTGGTGTCGTACAGCTCCGGGTGGTTTGCTATGGCGTTGATTAGCCTTTCCTCCATATTGAATGAAGAATGAAGGGCTTTGGCTGGACCTGCCCCTCTGAACTAGGTCAGAGCATCACGTCACCAGGCTCCTGATCGGTTGTTGCGGCGCGACTTGACGCTGGAGTTCAGATTTTTCCAACTCGAGCGGTTGACGCGATACGCGTGAATGCACAAAATGCACCACACAAACTGATGTGCATATTTTTATTCGCGCGTCACTCGCGCTACTTGGATGCGCAACTGATGCGTTTTCGTGACGCAAATCTTCTTCTGAATTTTCGCGGGACCCCCAGTCGCGCGGCATCGCGCTTCTCCATTGACTTTACATGTAAACCTGACACTCTGTTCGCGTCTACCGCGTTCGGTGTGAACACACCGTAAGAAATCAAATTGATAATTGACTTTGAAAATGGGATTCAAATCAGTAAATTTGTAGCAATTCCCATCCCTAGACATATTGGAAACTAATTTGATCTCTTAAATCTGTTTTCACATAGAATGTCAAATGAGAATGTAAAGAAATGATTAAAATTAATAATTATGCTTTGTAATGTTCATTGACCAGCATCAAATACACTATTACATTACAGTCTTTCACAAAAACACACACAATAATTGTATACGTGATGTTTTAAGAGCAAAAAATTATAGTATAAATTGTGGCATTGTTCCACTGAATATAATGACATAAACACTGGAAATTAGATTTTACATATTTTCTACTTGTAAATGTATTACTCCAGCACAATTGTGTTCACAATAACATGTTCACATATTGTTTTTAGGATTTTTATACATTACATTTTAAATAGTCTCACTTTTCAACACCAATTATAAAATGTTATATTATTATTATGAGACATGAAACATTGTTTTGTTTGCCATATTTTGGATTATTTTACATGAAATTTTCTATGTTTTCAGCTTTTTAAAACCCCCAACAAAGGATGATTGGGTACTGCCAAGGTTCAAATCTGAATGCTGTTTATTTCTTTGCAGAAATTTTAAATTGCATTTTAACTTTTAATAACTTCTTCAACGATTCTTTGATTTCCTGTGTCTGAAGACCATAGATTATTGGATTTAAAGTCAAAGGCATGACAGTGGCCAAAGATAGACTTATAGTCCTTGCATTTGGAAGTATTGTACTCCCAAAGGTAAAGATAAATAGTGCAGGGAGGAAATAAATTGCCACTAATGAAAGGTGACTTGTGCAGGTTTTTAAAGCCTTTAGTCTTTCCCTACATGTAACAGTTTTTGACAAAGAATAACCAATACAGCAGTAACTTCCCACGATAAATGCCAGTGGAACCCAAAGAACAAGAACTGATGCCAAATGAGCAATTACACGATTTGGAGTAAGATCATTGCAGCCAAGCCGATACACAGGTCCATGATCACAGAAAAAGCTCTGAATAACCACAGAGTCACAGAAAGAAAGTCTTGTGAGAAGACCAACTGCAGTGAGTATGATAGTAATTGCAAGAAGCCAGAAAAAAGCGATCAAAGATAAAATGAGCTTGTGGCTGATTCTCATTTGGTAGTGCAGCGGGTACATGATAGCCATGACTCTGTCAAAGGACAACACAACCAGATTAAAAGCCTGTGCTGCAAAAAAAGTCAAGCAGAAAAACATGAATGCCAAGCAGTCATTGTAGGAGATATGGTGATGGTTAAACAGAAAAATGTCAACAAGCTTTGGCATCAAAGCAGAGCTACTTAACAGGTCTGTAAATGCAAAGTTCACAACTCCAATATGTTTTGGACCTCTCAATGTATGATCCAAAATTATGACAATCATCAGTAGTGTGTTTCCCACCACTGAAAAAATGTAAATAAAGCACAGAAAGACAAAGTAATACCTAATATTAGCTATGCCATTAAATGTACTTATTATGAAATATGCAGGTTTCACAAATGTGATGTTTTTCCCAACAGCTGAATTTAAAAATTCCATTTGAATAATTTTTTTTTTAATGTTGAAGGTTAAAGTTAATGTCCTTTATTTTATGTTTCAGCAAACCTTGTTTAGTTAAGACTGGCTCCAAATGGAAGCAGAGCACGTTTGTGTTCTGTCCCTTATAGTCACTTGGCATTCCCTTATGACATCAAACCACATGGTTACAGCTTTGTGCAGACAATTTAACTAATAGGAATATTACATTACATTATTACATAATGGTTAATATTACATCATGGTTAATATTTTCTGACTGCCATCCTACTATCCTGAATTTTTGGTCAACCTCAGACTGACAATACAACTCAAAATCATGTTGTTTTGGATTAATTAAAAAGCTGGAAAGGGTACTTTGTGAAAATGTGTGCCCTTTTTCTACTCCTGACATTAATCTAAGATTATCAAATACCGGCTTTGCTGTCCTGCCAAGCTTGCTGTTGGGCACTGTTATTTTGTGTCAATAAGCTCGTAAGTAGCAAATTTAGTTAATAGAAGTCAGTCAATAATGGTAAACGCTAACATGTGTTAAAAGACTCATCAAAGGTAATGTATTTTTTCATGAAACTTTTTCACTTTTTTTTAAATTTTTTATTGTCACATCACATGTGCAGGTACATTGGTACAGCACATGCGAGTGAAATTCTTGTGTGCGAGCTTCACAAGCAACAGAGTTGTGCAAAATACAATAACATAAACAGGCAAAATATACGAATGGCTAAATCTGAAACTAATAAATATATGTACAATATATAATAGTATATGCAA